TGTGCTCCCAAGCTCTGTCCTGGTTTTTAGTGTATTAAATTATATAAGTTACTGTGAACCGAGTGTCCCTAATTTGAGCGCTGTTTGACCTCTTCAGAATTGGTCATACAATGTTGTTCTTTTTTTTTTTTTTAATTTTATGTATGTTTAGTTCCTGCGTATATGTCAGCATGGCTAATCCCATGTATAAATTTATTACATGTATGAGAGGTTATGTGTCATTTTAGACACATCACCTTTTAAATTGATCATGTGGCCCAAATCATTTAATGTTAAGCTTCACTACTTTCCTGTTTAGGATGGTTTGTTCTTTGTAGGAGATGCCTAAAGCAAGAGCCCTCCTGACTCCTGTAAGACTGGCGTTTTGTTAGGGAGAGATTCTCAGCACTGAGACATGGTGACTATTTCCCAATAAACTGAGCACAAAAGTGGAAAAATATTTATTAGCACTCCAAAGAATAAAGGTCCATAGGTTTTTTTTTTCATTTTGAATTGGTTTTAAATATGAAATAACTTTTTAGAAGAATTTGTGACATCTGTAACATGTTAGCAGTCTCTCTTCTGACAGAAAGAGGTAACTTCAAAAGCTTTTGGAAGAATGGGCAGTTCTGAGTTGGGCATTGGTGGCGCATGCCTTTAATCCCAGCACTCAGGAGGCAGAGGCAAGGGATCTTTGTGAGTTCGAGGCCAGCCTGGTCTACAGTGCGAGTGCCAGGATAGGCTCCAAAGCTACACAGAGAAACCCTGTCTCAGAAAAAAAAAAAAAAAAGAATGGGCAGTTCTTACAACTATTTGAACAAATAACTTCCTCTAATACAGAAATAAGGAAAATATGTAAGGGACAGTTAAAAATACAAGGATCTAAATTTTATGATCAAGCATTTTTGCCTATTTTAATTCTGGGAGAAAAAGTAACAAGCAGAAGTATAAAATAATAGTCCCTGAAGGGACCTGGGAAATTACCAATTTTTTCACCCACTAAACTCGGGAGCATAACACTCCAGTAATAGAATCTCAGATGAGGTAGCATGATGTGTTATACCTGTGGGTTCTTGGCTATATTGTTTGGCCTCTCTGTAACTGAATTTCTATAAAGGTATAATGCTGTCTTGTGTAAATTCCTGGACAATGGTGAAGATAAATGACAAAGGACCAAGCAAATACAAATCTTCGTAGTTAAAAATAGGTGACTAAAGAACATATGACTGAATTGTCTGTAGTTTGATAGGAGGAGGACAGAATTTAGGTTTCCAAAATCCTACTAGTATCTTTATCTATTATGCCAAAAAGAAACACATTTGGAAAGGACAGAATGGAGTTGGGGGAATTAGGAGTGTCCATATCTTTTCAAGGGAAGACAGATTTTCCTCGAGATTCCTCCAGAAATGAGGTGGAAAACTCTGTATGGTGATGGAATTAGGCAGGTGTGACAGCAAAAGTGGGAAATGATTGGAAGTTTGTAAGCTTTTTTCAAAGCTGTCCCAGTGAATAAACTGTACCTAGTTATTAGTGGTTCAATACAGAAGCTTAAAAGAAGAGGCTAATCCCAATCAGTGTAAAATTGCATTTGAAAGCACAGTCAGCCAAAACCATCCTCCAGTTCAAAGTGAATGCTTTAATCACTAGTACTGCTTCTTTTGACTCATTTTTTCCTGTGTGATTAGGCAGATCGTAAATATGGTTTCTATTATTGGAATCATACAATAAAATACTTCCTTTTTTTTAAAAAAAGATTCCATCTTATAGATCCTTTTTTAATTGGCAAGATTCAAGTACAATCTTCAGTAATGCATTCTTGGCAAATGTTCATGAAAATCAGGATGGTGACTAGCTATGGGAATGAAGAGACAGGGAATGGCAGAGCCTCGGGATCACAAGAGAAGTAAAAAAATAAAAACATCCTGATCCATGGGATAATTACATGAGTGCTCTTTCAGAGCCAAATCACCGGGCTGTAGAACTTGGAGGACCTTAATGGATGTGTCTAAGCCGTGCCAATGTTAGAAATGTTCAGGAAGAGCCTGTGGAATGGCGCACGTGGTATCAAAACTGTTCTGGGGTAGAGTTCACTTGCTACCTTAGAAAAGCAGGCTGAATACACTGTCAGATATCAAAGTGACAGTGGGAGGCAAGGCAAGACATAGGAAGACACTCAACTGATGGGGAATGTACTTCTGTGTATGTTTATCTTATTGATTGTTAAATAAAATACTGTTTGGCCAATGAGACAGCAAGTTCGATGGGACTAGGAGTCAAAGAGGATTCTGGGAAATGTAGTAGAGAAGTGGTGATCCAGGCAGGAAGTGACATAGCAAGGAGACTCATATTTAAGCGAAGGAGAAACAGGAAGGGGCCCTTTTTTCCCATTCGCCTCCTCCAGCAGCAGGATGTGAGCCACCAGCTAGGAGGGACGCCAATAAGGCGTCCGATAAGATAAGTCTTATAAAATATATAGATTTATGATAATTAAGACGGAGCTAACAGATGAGAATCCTAGTCATTGGCCAAGCAGTTTTGAACTTAATACAAGTTTCTGTGTATTCATTTGGGCCTAACTCGGACAGGCAGCTGGCATAAAGCTCACATGTGGCAGTGGGGCTCAGGCGGCTTTTGGCAGAAAGATTTATCGTAACACTCAACTGTCTGTAAAGTTTGGGAATAAAGGAGATTAAAAACACAGGGACAGGACTGAAGATATGGCTCAGAGGTTAAGAGCACTGGCTGCCCTTTCAGAGGTCCTGAGTTCGATTCTCAGCAACCACATGGTGGCTCGCAACCATCTGTAATGAGATCTGGTGGCCTCTTCTGGCATGTAGGTATATGTGCAGAACATTCATACGTTAATAAATAAAAAAAATTAAAAAACAAAACAAAAAAACCCATGGGGTCATGAAGGGGATAAATCAAAAACAAATCTTGAGAAACCAAAGACATCAGACTTACTAAAGAAACGGATTTAAGCAACTGCCTTGAATGCAGCCAAAGAGCAACAAGAAGAATAGCCAAAGAGCTAGAGAAAGCAGGGCAAGTTCCAAAAAGGAACCAAGAAAAACTCTAGAATAGAAAAAATGCAGTAACTGACACGACAAATCCCTTAGAGGGGTTCGAAAGTGGATGTGGGAAGGCAGGACAAAGCGCTGGAGACTGACAGGTGACAGCAACAGTCAGCTCTAAGAAGCAAAGGGGAAAGGTGAACAATGACCATATGATCCAACAAGTCCACTTCTAGATATAACTCAAGATACTAAAAAGAGATGCAAAAAAAACAAACAAACAAACCACAAACTGCACCCCACACTCACCAGCTCTAGCTTCCATTTTTCAGCATCACCAGTGGATGTAGTTTTGCCAGATTCAGCATCACCATGAGAAAATGGTCTCTTCGCAGCTTCATCCACCCTAGAATCTTCTCCTGTCTTAATCCAAGAATCCTGAATGTTTCCCTAAAATAAAATGCACCATTAGTTGCAGCTGGCATTCAACAGTAAATAAATATGCAGACTATAAATGGACCATGGTTCCCACCCATGGGGAGACGCATATGTTGAGGCTCTAAGTCAAGCATCGCTTTGCATGGTCATGCCATTAGGGCTCTGCTGCAGATGGGTAGTACAGGTCAAGTGCCCACATGTGCAGAGAATAATCCAAATATCCACAGAGGAGCCTGGATGCCTATGTATTTACCATTCTCGACAGAAACCTGATAGCTCAGTCTCAGTTTGTCTTTCCTTTTCCGTATTCCAAGGAGGCTAAGGCAAGGCCCTGGGTACCATTTTCAGTATCAAAAAAGGGAAAGAAAAAAAGAACACATGTGCAGCTAATAGAAGTGACATGTGCCACACATCTCAGGGACTCACAAAGGAGTGGTGGGGAGCAGGACACATAGCTAAAATGTGCCATAAGCAAACAGGAACAGCCATTTCCATGTGGGAACAGAAATCCACATCATCATAAGATTAACGGTAAGGTAGGTTATTGTTCTCCACTGAAAACATTACTAAATGCTGGCTCGCAGTTGGTCGACTTTGAGGAACCTATAACCAATTTATAATCTCTGTTTTCAATGTTCAAGGAGATAAGCAACTTAAAGATCTGGGAAATGTATAGAGGCAATAAGGACTACCATACTTACATTAATTTAGAGCCTTTGCTAAGTGCCAAAGGATGCAATACTTATAAAGAAGGTGAGGCCCCCAGACACTGAATTATATGAGGCAGTGCCACGCTGATCTGTAATGTGGCCGACATTCCAGGGCAGTGCTGATCCTACTCCATATTCTCTTGCAAGCTTAGTTTACTGCAAGCATGTGTATAGCACCTATTATGTTCAGACATGTGCACAGGACCTACTGTGTGCATATACACTTGTATGTGTATTGTGCTAAAAAAAAAACAAAAAAACAAAAAAAAACCCATACTAATAACTTGGAATACAAAAATAAAAATAACAAAGCTTAGCACCAATGGGTTTACAGTCTAATGAAGGAAAATGCACACCAAAGTAGACAGTTAGGAGTCTAAAAGGTAAGTTCTGGGCTGCAGGTGTGCCGGAGAACCAAGAAAAGTCAACTACACTTCCATCTTGGCCCCCTCCTCATACCTCACACCAATTTCCGCAGGAATTGCTTTAAAAAGCCCCAGACCAGAAGTTTGATGTGTTTGATATGATGGTACCTCAGGTAGAACTCCTCCTGCTATATAGGAGCTTTGTGGGTTTTGTTCTCTCTCTCTCTCTCTCTCTCTCTTTCTCTTTCTCTCTCTCTCATGAATCTCACCCCTCTTTTATTCCTTCTCTCTCCTCCCCTCCATCCCACCTATGAACCTATAATAAACTTTTCTCTAAAACTGACCCTCTGTAACCTGTGACCTGTGACCTTCATTTCTCTAATTTGGTAGACAAGAACTTGAAAGCCACTGGCTTTGGTGGCCATTGAGTTTTCCAGGATCATAGCTCTTCAAGCCAAGAAAAGATCAGTTGTTCCCATAAGGACTAAGCCAGAATAGAGGAAGGAGGTTGAGAGGAGTCAGAAATTCAAATGAGTTTTTTTTTGGAAAAGTTTTGGTCCTGGCATATCATTTAGATGGGAAAACCTTACAGAAAGAGGACGCCTCCCAAGAAAACCTGGAGTGGGAATGAGCACAGCTCCCACAGGAGTGTTCATAGAAAGGAGAAGGATGATGGTAGGAAGCTGGACAATCCAGAGGGTGTGGGGGATGGAATATAGGGTCCCAGGTTCTGGCCACCATAAACAGCGGTGGTGCCAGGAAACTCCGGCCCACTATTGTATTGTTAATGTCAGCAGGGGTACTTTTGTTTACCATGGCCTGAGGGTAATATGCCTCTTATTTGCATCTGTATGTGCCTAAGCATCTGTATAGGCCTGCACCTGGGCAGGGAGATCAGAGGTATGTGAGTAATGTATTGAGGACCAAGGTTAGGAGCTAAGTGGGCGAGCTGCGAGAGGAGAACAAAGAGAAATGGTTGCCTCCTAGTATTAGCAGGATGGTTAAGAGACACCAGAAAAGATGGCTAATAAAGAAATAGCTCTAGTTCCACAACATGGAACTGAGAGCTCTCTGAAGATGACAAGATGCCTGTGTTTGGTCTTTATCGCCGTTGGGTTCCTCGAAGCTTCCAGGTCCACACACCCCCACTCAGGTAGAACCCCAGGGAATAAGGCTGAGACATGCTGGGTCACAACAAGAGGGGTCCCAGGCAACAAGTTTGCAAGCTTTTGTGTAAGAGATCTCGCTCTCGTAAGATTGCTCCTATTCAAAGTTGCTCTGGAGTCAGCAAAGGATGAGGGAGGGCACTAATCTCCTCTAGAGAAACTGGCTAAAACACACAGACTACACTCATGATATAAAATATTATTATTCTTTAGGAATAAGTGCTTGTCTTCTACAGATAGCTTTAAAAAACTTGAATAGTATTTAACCGATTTTTTTTAATCCTTAAAATCATTGAAAACATCTTACTTATTGTCAGAAACATTTTTAATTAAGAAAATGACTCAGAAATTTTATCTAGGTAGAAATACCTACCTAGACCTTCAAATAAGTGCCACATTTCTCATAAGTAACATATTTTAATATTATTGTACCTTTTAAGTACAGAGAAAACTTTCCTGGAAGGGGGATTTCATGAGAGTTTAAAATGAATTGTATACTTTAAATAGTTTTCTTAAAATAATTTGTTATTTTTATTTTCTGTGCATTGGGGTTTTGCCTGCATGCATGTCCATGTGAACATGTCCATGTGCACATTCTGTTGGCAAATACTCTTTGCTCAGACTGCCAGGCAGATGCACTGTGCCATCACTTCACTTCTTTCCCCCACTCATTGCTCCCTTCTCCTGATGAGAATGTGGGTGCCATGTGGGTGCTGGGAATTGAACCCAGGTCTTCTGGAAGAGCAGCCAGAGCTCTTAACTGCTGAGCCATTTCTCCCACCCTGTATAGTTTTAGTTATAAAATAGGATCACCATTTTTTATGACATCTAGGTCATCAACTAGCTCAAAAGTTCTATGTCTTGTTGGCTAGCCTGAGAGTGCAGAGATAAAATGGAGAACAGAGAATATTCCTCTCTTCTCTGGGAGGAATCTCAGGTCTGGTGTAGCATGAGCATCTCCCACTAATTTATGCAGATGTGCAGCACAATACAAGGTTGGGGGGCTCAAGAGCCAGACAGTCCTGGGCTCCAGTCCTTGCTTTACCATTTTCCAGTTCTGGGACAGTATACCAGTTACTTAGGTTACTTAACTACTACATATTTTAACTTTCTCCTCTGAAAAAATATAAATAATAACACCTGCCTTATAGGGTTATTGTAAAGCTGAAATAATACAAGATAAATAATAGGCTTGAAACAGTGCCCCGACAAATGATAGTTATTACTACATCATTGTTTCAGTTATTCACAAAAGAGAACATTGCACGACACTGGGATATCTAAGTTCAAATTAACCAATAGCATTGTTGAGATTTAGTGCGAGCATTTGTGTCACTAGAAAAGCCTACTCTTCCTTAGAAAAAATATTCTTAACCTAGCAGCAGTTAAGATCTCCTGAACAATCTTATTCATCCTAACTGGAATACGGTATGCATTGGTGAAACACCTCTTAATCTACTCAAGTAGAAAGCAGGGGCAACTGTTCTGTAATAGTGGATACCCCAGAAGACTAAGGGGGTCAGCTGGCATTCCTACAACACTCATTTCAATCTTTGCAGTGCTTTTCATGTCATGTGAATGAGTAAGATCAACAGGAAAACCTCCCTGGAACTGTGTTTATTCTAAGATTGTGGCTGTAGTTTTCTTTTGGCAAATACTCTTTGCTCAGACTGCCAGGCACTTGGGCTTCGCCATCGCTTCCTTCCCCCATGTGTTGCTCCCTTTGGCTGCCCTCTTATGCACTTGTCTGTCTGATTTCCTCTCTCCCTCCACTTCCTCTCTCCCTTCTTTGCCTCTGTGTAAGTATTGAAGACCATGAATAATTGATTCACTGTTTAGTGATTGTATAGTTTTAAGAAAAGCACAAGACTATTTTTCAAATGGGCTATTCCCAAGTACTTTTTATAGGGTGATATGTCTTTTTCAATTTGACATTCAAATTATAAGTACTAAGAATTTTTAACCACCAGTGTTAATTATGTAAAGCTTCAAAATAATTGTATATCAAAGGGTAAGTAACTTGTCGAAAATGTAAAAGGAAACACAGAAAAGCAAATGGAAACACTAATCATCAGTCTGATGGTGAGTTTTCAGATGCTTCTCAGCAACAAATGAGTTGCTTCTCAGCAAATCATTCTTACACACATGACTCAAGGATCAGAAATGAAACATTGAGTCAGACTGGGGCAAGAAAGCTTCAAAGCCAAAATCAGCTGATACATAAGTACATCAAGACTTTCACATATTCTTCTTAATAGAAGTGATTTTCTAATGACACTTAAGTAAACGCACAAAAACAAAAACAAAAACCCTATAAAGGACAAAGTAAGCCACAACCAGCAAGCATTAAAACTCTCCCATGGAAACCCATAGAGACAGCTGACCTGAGAGTTCATGGACTCTAGACCAACAGCTAGGAAGCCTGCATGGGACTGACCTAGGCTCTCTGCATGTGAGTGACAGTTGTATAGCTTGGTTTGTTTGTGGATCCCCTATTAGTGGAACCAGGATCTGTCCCTGGCACATGAGCTGGCTCTTTGGAGCCCATTCCTTATGGCGGGATACCTTGCACAGCCTTGATGAAGGGGGGAGGAGCTTGGTCCTGCCTCAACTTGATATGCCATGCTTTGTTGACTCCCATGGGAAGCCTTACCTTTTTTGAGGAGTCAGGGGGGTGGGAGTAGTGTAGAAAACAGGTGGGAGGAGGGAACAGCAGGAGAAGAGGGAAGGGAAACTATGGTTGGTATGTAAAATAAATAAAAAAAGAAAAAGAAAAAAAGAAACCTACCATGGAAGGTACAATTTGTCTCATACAGAGGAACAGGCTATGATCAGCTGTGTCCCATGGGAAAATTGTGAAAGAAACTTTTTAATACAAGAGTATCTTTAATAAGTAATAAAAAGATATTAAATTTAAACATAATTTAAATACAATTCCAAGCATTTTGTGTCATAGAATTCTAAAGATAATTTGACCCACTCTTCTTCAAAGTTTGGCCACTGATACTAGAATCCCATAGGTAACTTGAAGCTTATATTCCCAGGACACAACCAGACCAGGAAAATCAGACACAGGGGATGGAACCCAAGAGCTCCTATTATAGACCCTGATGTGAGTAAAGCTTCTCAAATTACTAATTATCACTGAGGTTAAGCCATGCAAGTTTCATTAAACTACGTAGTAAATACCACCAGAAACATAAACTTATGGACTCTTGAATCTCAGCCTCACAGATCTGAGTTCTTTCACTACACTATGCTGCTCATCATACTAAGATCTTAGAAGGTCAACAGAGTTGGGTAAGATTCTGAACCATTTCTAGATTTAGTACAATTCCTCCTACGTAACATTCTGTACTTGCAGGTTCCTCTTTCCATATGGAAAAGGCACAAGAGCATGCTCAGAGTGGAAACTGGAGGGACTTCCAGCCACCTGTTCTGTCACTTGCAGATCCAGTCCACCACATCTGATTCTAACTTTTGAGGCACCATGCAAATTTGAGCATTACACTCTCACCAAACTTCAAAGAGATGGGCCTGATAAGTCTGATCTGTGCATCATTGTCCATATGAGCCCCAGAGTAGCCATGAATGTAACCCAACACAAAATAATCAACTTACTTAAAATACTATGAGTTTTTGTTTTGTTTTGTTTTGTTTCTTTATAATTCAACTTCATGGTATGAACTTTGCAGTTGACAATTTTACATCAAAAGGCTGGACAAAGTTGAAAAACTGGGATAAAGTATAGGAAGAAACATTCAAGATAAAGATTGTGGTTACAAACACTACTCACAGATGCATCCAGAAGTGTCTGCTCCCTCAGTGTCTCCTCCTGTCTTTGAGATTTCAGTTCTTGCTGGAGCCTTTCATTCTCAAGTACAACTACCTGTACCCTATTTTTCATTCCAGATAATTCATCCTATGAAAAGCAGAAATCAAAATACATTAAAGCATTTTAGGCAATACTTATATTTATCAATTACTATGAAATCTAGGGTGAAATAAATTATGGAAGACTTATGCTATCAATTTCCTGACATACAACAATTATATGAAAGCAGGAAAGGAAACCAACATTAGGTAATATTATCAAGTATCCAGGTTACTTGGTGGACAGTTGAAAGCCCGCTGATGACCACATGACAAATGAGTCCTTTTTCTGGAAGTTTGTTTCTTCACGGAATCAAGGACTAGAGAAAAGTCTTATTTAAAATGATTATCTAAGAGATTTTCTGCTGAAAAGTAAATTACTACCAAAGGTCAAATGTCAATACCATGAGAGGAATAAATGGAAGGAGAGACAAATCATAGAAATTACAGTGTCTATGAACCAGTGCCCAGAAAAATCACAAATGAAGCAGTCTGCTCTAATGTTTGAGCATTCTTAGTTTATATACATCCTTGGCCTAGCAATGTGTAATATAAGGAATTAGGGAAGTCATGACTTGAATAGTTACTGAGTGGCAACTCACTTTCTGAAAATAAAAATCTCAAATATATGAATGTGTAACCTAATATTCATTACTACTGTAACCAAAAGCTATTATGCAATATGCAGATTTCTTTTTATCTACTTTACGGAGAAAAAAGCAAATCTGTAATTAAATGTTGTAATTTGAAAAATAGTTTCAAAATTCCAGTTTTCTGTCAGGCATATAATTGAGCTTAGAGGATATCAACCCAGTCTCTCTAATAAAAAAGTTTAACAATCTGAAAATCAAAATTCTTCTTAGACCCACTAAGAAATAAAGTCACAGAGAAAGCTGCTCCTCCAAATTAAAGAAAACATACTTAGAATTGCAATACCTGAGAAGAAACCTCTGCAGAAGCCAGTACTTACAAATGAAAATCCAAATTATAATTGATTAATGGTTCAAAGCTCAGTGTGGATCAGTTTAAGATTTCAAAACTCTAGGGAGATCAAGAACCCCCTCAGAGTTTTAATTCTATGACTACCAAGTATTCAAAGTAAAGACTAGAAATAAATCCACATGCCAGGAAGAGGCAAAGCAGCACTTGTGAAATATGCCCAGGAGCTTGTGTTCTCTGTAATAAGGCCTGCCTCCAGTGAAAACACTTTCAAGGACATAAAGACACTGGCTTTATCAAAGCTTAAATGGAGTGGGATAATAATAAACACACAACCCTAGTCTTCTCCACCCTCCCCACCTCCAGGGCACAGGCTCAGTAAAATGTGAAAGGGACTCGGAATTAGACAGCACCATGTCCCCTCCAATGCTTTACCAAACCAACAGGGCTCCCAGACAACAGTGGAGAAAGTCAACCTACAGAATTTAAGGATTCTCTAAGGAAAGGAGACAAGTGCAAGTCCATGGAAGAATGGTTCCCTGATGTTTATAGTAAAAAGCAAACTGTAAAAGCAGCCTAACTTCTAGTCATAAAGCCAAGGCCTCACAGTAAAGGCTTACTGTTCCAGTTAGGTCTCTGGTATGTGAGAAATACCAGAAGCAACTTGGGAGAGGAAAGGATTTATTTCATTCACACTTCCTGATTACATACAGCAATGAAGGAAGTCAGGGCAGGGTCTCAAGGCAGGAACCTGGGAGAACCGGCAGAGCTACTTCGTGACTCTTACTAATGCTGACCATGGACAGCATTCGACAAAACAATAACAAGGACTACTAGGGAGTTAAACAATTAGAAATGGCATGATGGAGAGTACCACATAGGAACAGTCCTTTTCAGTAGATTGCAGTAAACATGGAAACTAAGAACAGCAAATTTCAATATAAGGTATAATTGACATACATTGAAGTCTTGATGAGCAACTTACCTTGCAGAACTTAACTTCTGCTTCTAAATGATGAATGTACTGAGACTGGTCATTAATGATGGGAACAAGGTTGTAGACAGTAGGCGTGCTATTGTCCTCACATTCTGATGGCCGCTAAGGGAAGAAGGTCAGATCAGGCAGCCACACACACAATCATCTGATTATCCTCTACATGCAATCTAGTGCTGGCGTGACAGAAGCAAAGACTAGATCACAGTGTACCACATCACAGAATACACACAGTATTTATATCTTTATTCTAGAAACTCCACAAGTATAAGGAGAGGAGTATTATTTTGGAAAGATAGAGAGCGAACAGTTATTAAAAGCACACGACACATGGAGTTTCTTTTCCAGAGCAGGGTACCGTAACTGGCTGGAATGGCTACCTGCTTAACTACCTAACAATGTGACAGCCCATACAGAATGCTGAGACATAATGAACAGTTCTCTTCAAAACCTTGTCTGGGAAGAGGAATGCCAACTGAAACTGCACATCAGCTCACCATGTAAGAGACTTCAGACAGGGACTCGGAAGTCAGATGCATGCCAGTGAAGCAAAATTCTATTCCAAAGGGGCACAATAAAAATTCTAGAGTTTGGGGTTTCATTTTGTTGTTGTTGTTGAGTGGATGCTTTAGGCTTGTGCAGTCTCTCTCTCTCTCTCTCTCTCTCTCTCTCTCTCTCTCTCT